TTTCAACCGAATATCTAGGGCACGCTTGTGATAATCTTCTGCCTGCTTTAGGTCACCCAGCTGACGGTGTACAAGACCCAGGTTATCATATGACGTTGCGACATCAATATGCTGAGGTCCTAGCTGTTTCAACCGAATATCTAGGGCACGCTTGTGATAATCTTCTGCCTGCTTTAGGTCACCCAGCTGATGGTGTACAAGACCCAGGTTATCATATGACGTTGCGACATCGATATGCTGAGGTCCTAGCTCTTTCAACCGACTATCTAGGGCACGCTTGTGATAATCTTCTGTCTGCTTTAGGTCACCCAGGTGACGGTGTACAAGACCCAGGTTAAGATATGACGTTGCGACATGGACATGCTGAGGTCCTAGCTGTTTCAACTGAATACCTAGGGCACGCTTGTGATAATCTTTTGCCTGGTTTAGGTCACCCAGCTGACTATGGTTAAGACCCAGGTTATCGTATGACGTTGCGACATCAACATGCTCAGGTCCTTGCTATTTCAACCGAATTTCTAGGGCACGCTTGTGATAATCTTTTGCCTGCTTTAGGTCACCCAGCTGACGGTGTACAAGACCCAGGTTATCATATGACGTTGCGACATCACAATGCTGAGGTCCTAGCTGTTTCAACCGAATATCTAGGGCACACTTGTGATAATCTTTTGCCTGCTTTAGGTCACCCAGCTGACGGTGTACAAGACCCAGGTTATCATATGACGTTGCGACATCAATATGCTGAGGTCCTAGCTCTTTCAGCCGAACATCCAGGGCTCGCTCGTAACATTCTTTTGCCTGCTTTAGGTCACCCAGCTGCCTGTGGACAATGCCCAGGTTATTGAAAGACGTTGCGACATGAACATGCTCAGGTCCGAGCAATTGCAGCCGAACATACAGGGCTAGCTTGTGAAAGTGTTTTGCCTGCTTTAGGTCACCCAGCAGCGAGTGGACAAGGCCCAGGTTATTGTAACACATTGCGACAGCAACATGCACACGTCCAAGCTTTTTCAGCCAAACATTCAGTGCTCGCTCGTGACAGTCTTTTGCCTGCTTTAGGTCACCCAGCTCAAGGTGTACAAGACCCAGGTTATCATATGACGTTGCGACATCAATATGCTGAGGTCCTAGCTCTTTCAACCGAATATCTAGGGCACGCTTGTGATAATCTTCTGCCTGCTTTAGGTCACCCAGCTGACGGTGTACAAGACCCAGGTTATCATATGACGTTGCGACATCAATATGCTGAGGTCCTAGCTCTTTCAACCGAATATCTAGGGCACGCTTGTGATTT